ATATATATGTACAATCTCAATGTCGTTATATAGATTTTTTTAAAAGTTCATTATGCGGCTGGGGCTATAGCTCAGTGGCAGAGCGCTTGCCTAGCATGTATAAGGCACTGGGCTTGATCCTTAGCACCACATAAAAATAAATAAATAAAATAAAGGCATTCTGTCCATCTACAACTACCAAAAAAAAAATGTAAAAACAAAAGAACAAAACAAAAGCTCATTATGACTTTTTACAGTCTGTAACTCATATATTTAAAAGGTGAAGTAAGCCAGAGAACTAAAAGCATTTTCCTTTGCTATAACACTAGGAAGGTCAAGACTATTAACTTATCCCAAGGTTCCCTCTTAAAAAAAAATATGTGTTACATCTACAAACTCAGAGATACTCTCTATCTTGTAGTGCATACCGATTCAGATCATGTTGCTAATAAACTCTTTAAGTACTATCTGAAATATTGACATAGCACTGGAAAATTTTGCAAGTTTAAGCACAAAGAAGCCATTTGGAATCACTCCAAAAGCTAATTACATTTTAGGGAGGGCTAGTAGAGCTAGCTGTAATCAACAACTAGAATATTTCTTTTTAACTCCTTGACTATGCATTACATTCAAGCTAATCATCTTGTTTATTCCTGCTAAAATTTCAGAAACCAAATAATCTGGGAATATCTCTGCCCTGCTGGGCTCTTTTTTTCAAAGCCAGAGCAAAGCCAAAATGAATTATTTACCAATTTTCCTACTATAAATTCTGCTAACAGGAGGAAAACTGTTAGAACATCTTGCCAACAAAATGAAATATACAGCACAGAGAGGCGGGAATTCAACCTAAGCAATTTAGTCATGCATTTTCATTGATAAGCCAGGAAAAACTAAAGAGGCTTCATGACAGACATACATGAAAGGAAAAAGAGAAGCTAAGGCTGTGGGCACATGGCATCCATTGAGTGGTACCTGATGAAACTGACTTTGTAAATTGAAATCTGCATTTTTAATCAAGGAAATCAAGAGTATTTTAAGTGAAAAAAATAGACACAGATTCTGTTCTCTGCCTTTGCAAAAACCTTTTTGGCTAAGAAATAACATTACCCGAACATATTTCCTTATCCTATGCAGATGCCTTCAGTAGATACACATGAAAAAAAATCATGTACCACATGAAGAAATATACAGCCCTTGCTTATTTTACATAAAATAATACTGTTCAAAGAAGCATTCTTTTCCTTTCACATATAAAATCCTTTATTGTTTTATGAAGAGAGGGCCTTGGGTTCACTGAACACACTCGCCTCCTTTGGCAGGGCACTGCTAACACTATCAAAATATTAAACTCAGCATAAGATGCTTTTATTACCCTGCCCTGCCCCAACTTTGCATCTACCCACCAGGCTTGGAGATGTGTTCTGTTCCTTCCCAGGTGGTCGCCTATTTTCATCCTCACAACTCCTGAATTAGCCCTCATGCTTCAGAGGGTCTCCACAGCTTTGCCATTCCCTAGCAATGATAGAACTATGCAGGCATCATCTGCTTATCAGTATGTAGCACCTTCTTCCCCTGCCTATAACCTTTTCCAGAGTATAGCCACTTCCCACATTAACCCTCTTAAAAGGCAAAAATCAACAATTGAATTCAATAAATATTGACTACTTATCTGCTTTTTTTTCTAGGTGCTGAAGGGTATGAAGATCTAGCCCCTGCTCTCTACAAGGGTATTTCCACTGAGTTGCTGGTGTGAATAGATTCACACATTACACAGTTCGGTATGGTATAATATAAATAACATCAAATTTCAATGGCATTCTAAGGAATCAGAGACTGGTGAAAAGTGAAAAATTAAGGGAAGAGGTTCTAAAATCTCCACAGAATGTAAACAGGTGGAAAGATGGATAACAGAGGGTACAGGCAGGGCCACCAAATAAAGATGGTTTTAAACTATAAATGAACATGGTACATTGTAAGAACAGTCAAAAGTATAGGATTAAAATGTATAATATTAAAATTATAAAATGGCCAGGTATTGTGGCACATACCTATAAACCTTCCTACCTGGGAGGCTGAGGCGAGCCAGCCTGGGAAACTTAGCAAGATTCTGTCTCAAAAAAAAAAAAAAGTGGCTGGGGATATAGCTATGGTAAAGCAACACTAGGGTTCAATCCCCATTACCACAAAAATATATATATAAAATGACTCCCACAAGAATATCTAAAGTGAAAAA